CGGAACCAGCCTTAATTTTCAAGGGGGGGCAAACTTATAAGTAAAAGTGCAGTTTTTTCATAAATATCCTTACAACCAAATTTTGTTCTGAGGGCGCAGTCTCTCGACCCCTATTCATATCTTTGATTTTTGTACATTTCACAGATATGTCAGGGGTTCAAAGGGGCAAAGCCCCTGCGGGGTTTTCGGGGGCAGTGGCCCCTAAATAAATTTTAGTTGTAAGGATATTTTTGGATTCTCTTTATATTTGGTTGATCGTTCCCTAACAATAACATCTCTACACAATGTGTTTAATTATGTTTGGACAATTGCCTAAAGACCATAGTATTTTAAATTTTTTTTTTTTTTTTGGGGGAAGGGGGGGGGGGAAGAGAGAGAGAGAGAGAGAGGCAATTGCCTAAAACTTCTTGTAATAAAGACTAAAAAATACATTGAGGGGTACAAATTGCATAAAGGATTTTATAATAAAGATTTTTTTTTATTTTTTATTTTTTTCAGGGGGTAATTGCCCCACCCCTCGGGCTTACAGTGGATACGCTCCTACTTGAGAGCCATAATTACGTGATAATAGTCAGAGAACCGCTATATGAAAAATTCAATAGGTTTTTAATTTGTATCAATTTTTATCATGCATTCATCTTAGTTTTTTATTTGTTTAATTGTCTATTCTCTTTTATTTGTAAATACATAAAAGAATTTTCATGTGATTGTAGATTTATTTGCTTTTTTATCCCAACTAAGGCTTCGTTTGGGACGGCTTTCTTTCTGCTTCTTAATTTTCGTACAAAAATTAACAAAATTATTCTAATTAAAAGTCTATCTAATAAACTTTATCAAAAATAGATTCTCTATTAACAAGAGATTATTACGATTCCAGAATCGGAGAATCATTCTATTGTGTGGCTGTGAATAGTAAAAGCGCGGTTATTATTCACCACTGCGTTTTTATTGTTCACAGTTACAAAACTGAATGATTCTCTGTATTCGGACTCCGCACGTAATAATCTCTCCTATTTATTTTACATGCTCAAAAGTATTCCTATATATTCAATGTCATTTTATTATTTTGGTTGTCTCTACTTGGTGATCAAGCTATTTGTCTCTTTTATTTATTTTCTGTTGTGATTTCCCTTTATTTGTAATTCCAAATCCCTCAATGTGATGACATGGAGAATTTTCATATATAAACATTTGCTTAACATTAAAACTTTTTTTTTTTCAGATTTGAGATCTGAAGCGTTTTTTTGTTAAGTTTTAGAGCTTAAAGATTTATGATTTTCATTAAACCTAGAGATAGTTTAAACAAAAAAAAAATATTGCTTTTATTTTATATCTCTAATTTATTTTTTATAATGCAAAAAAAAAATGAAATAATTATTTTGTTTCCTTAAAATTTCACATCATAACACACTCACAAAAAAATGAAATAAGTAATTTTTTTTAAAGAGTAACTATTCTAAATATTCAATAAGTTATCTTTTGAGTACAATTGCAAGCTCTCATTATTGTATGATATCTTGCTAGTAGAATGGAGTTGATAGGACCTTTTTTTTATGTTTATTCATTGCCTTAGGATAGTGCACCTACAAAATCCTAGTCTTGTTCTTTGGGACTTGCCCCCTCTTTGAATCTTAGAGAACTCTACGGTCACCTAGGCTATTTAGTGTAAGCTCATCTATTGTGTCATGTGTATCGTTGTTTTCCCAGATGAAGCGGGCCCCACCGGATGATTTTCTTTGGGCTCTTAAAAAATTTAAATAACTCTAAAAATTACCTTCTAATGATTTTTTAAGTTTTCAAATGTTATTTTCATTTAACATAATTAATAATACAAAAAATACGATAAAATATAAGCTCTAGTATGTTAAATAGATCTGTTATTAATATTATGGTGTAGATCTCCTTGTAGATAATATATTTGATTTTGTTATTTGAACCTAACGTAGACCCCTTTTTGAAGTTCATATACTACAAACAATAACATATAGAATTCTTAAAAGCCATACAACCAATTGATAAAATATACCTAATAAACTCATAACCAAACTCTAAATTTTGTAATGAACTAACTAAAGACAAGTAATCACAAATAAAAAATTAATTAAGTAATAGATAAAATCTATTAAGAAACAAGATAATTGTTGGGTAATCCGAGCCTACAAGGCTATCAAGTTAGCTTCAATGAGAATGAAATAAACCTCATGATCCCGGTTTAACAACAACAATTGCCACTCAACTTAAATAATTAATAATAAATTATCAACAAATTAAGCTTTTGTAACCCTCGTTATATTCAAGAGTAACCCTATATTAAATTTGTAAGATTTTAATAGTTAAACAGATTAATAAAAATCACAAATATGTATATCTTTAGCACAACCCAGTTCTTCAATAAAGTTTATAGGCTGGACTACCTCAAGCTATTGGGCTATGTGCCCTAAGGAGGTCTTGGTCTTCGTGCCCGTTGTGATAAGGCATGAAATGATTGACGCCTAAACTCAATAAAATCCATAAAAATCATAAAACTTCTAAATAAATTTCTCTAAATCTACTAAATCATTATGAACTCCTTAATCGAACTACAAGTTTAAAAAAATATAACAAACCAAATAGAAATAAATAAATATGAATTGAATTCCTATGAACTCTTAAGATGAGCATAATCAAGGGTCTACATTAATTAGAATGAAAGCCTAATTGAAAGATAAAATCTTCTCCCACAAACTCTCCAAAACTTAAGTAAGATACCAAAACACTAAAATTCTAACTCAAAATTAAATATCTTTTAACTTTAAACAAACAGATGAATTTGTTGGAAGAGCAAATGAACTTCAAGTCACACCTTAGTGCCATGACCTATGTCAGATTTATATGCATCTTTGTACACTTTCCGTTAATACAGGTAAGATATATAGGTTGGACTATTTTGAGCTATAGGGCTATGTGTCATAAGGAGACTTGGTCCTCTTACTCATTATTACAATACCACATACCTTACAACTTAAGGGATAAAAATTTAAAGATCTGTATAAATTATATTTTTTTAGAAATATAAAGCTACTCTTAGAAACCTAAATCAATTTCTTAACCACTCAAATGTTAAACCTTAAATCAGATAAAACTTACATATAGCTATAGATAGTGAGTCTTCTGCTCTCATGTCAATCTCAAAAAAATTGAATCACCTTAAATATAGGAAGCCTAGGATTTTCTTTTTATGGTGGGCAATAGGCCCACTTTAGTGTGTCACCTATTGGCCTTATCTTGAGTCTTAGATGATCAAGGGATGACTAATCAACCTTAACACCTTATAATTATTGTAGTCTTGATTAGATGTAGGATTGAGGATGAACCAATTGCCCCTCGATTCTTTATAACTATAGTTTAGTTATGGCTCATATCTCTAAACTCTTCATAACTTAATAACCATAATTATAACCCTAAAACTGTTTTAATTACTTCACCCTAAATGACTAACCACTTAAAGAAAAATTTAAGGGCTAATAAATTAAACAGTATGAACCCGAACTTGTAACTTTAACCCTTTATCTAATTTAGGGTGGTTAGATAGCACATAACACTAATTTTTTCACACACTTAGGTGCTAGATATGACATATTTTTATAGGCATCCTAAGGTAAGGTGTACGTAGCTAGAATATTATTTTCCAATTTTTTTTTTATTTTATACTTTATATTTGTGATGCTACGATGATGTGTTTTTGGCTTGGATTATTTTTGGTTGCTTTATTTTTCTATTTTGTGGATTGATGAGTGGGCATTTGCCCTTACATGGTAATTAGAATATTTATAGAGATATTTTTTGCAGGTAGTGCACGTTCCCAAGAGAATAAATGCTGTCATAATAATTATAAATACACTTTATAACATGTTCTACAAGGAATGCTAAGCCTTTGGGAATGTGGTCTTAAGGACTAAGTTTTGATGTGAATGTGTGATTATTATTATAATTGTGCTAATCTCTATTTTGTAGGGTGATTATGCAAATTTTTTAAATGTAATTTTAGTTAGGAAAGCCTTGTATGCGTGTGAGTATTTCAGAAGGAAGGAAGCCATATGTATGAAGATCAATCAAGATCCCACACATCATTTCAGCGATATATAAATTTAGGCTAAGTTGTAATTATGATAGAGCTCAGTTATATTTTTTTCATTTTTCTGGGGTGTATTGTAGAATACAACTATATTTATGATCTCTATTTATTACTTATTGTTTGATGATTAGTGTTTACTATGATTTAGACCAAGTGACTATATGATTCTTATATGTTGAAAATATCTGATTGAGCTCATCTTCACTTGCATGAGGAGTGCTAGATATTTTACTATGCACCAAATCTATAGAGAATAAAATAGTATCCTTCATCGAGAGTATTATTAGGTCAAGGCATAAGATGTAATTAACCATATGGGCTTATGCTTATGAGAAATCTAAACCCACATCAAATAAACTTCATTCGAGCTGATGTATCAAATAACAAAAATCTCGTGACTATTGAGTTTTACATATTATTCATCGAGGTGTGTAAGCGAAAGTCACTATTCTCCATGGATAATCAAATGTATAATTCTATATGCTCTCCATTGATTTGCTTGCGTAGAGTGTAAAGGCATATGACCGTTTTGTCATACGTGATAGTGTGATTGTCTCCTTCACATTCTGACCTGTAGAAAAACATCATTTTAAAGACCCACAATTATATTTATGTGTATGTGTGTCATTCATCTTTTGTATAATCTCATGTCATAAGAGCTAATGCATGCCTTGACAAGCATATCAATATGATTTATTCTTAAATAATCTATCATTAGTAAGGATATATTATATAAGCTCTAATCGATAAAATAGATTTTTTACCTAAAAAATTATTTTAAAACAAAAAACTAACACAAACAAAGTTTAGAAATATCTCATATAAAAGAATCTATAAATCAACAAAATCTATACTGTAAAATATTTAGTGTGCATGAAAAAGTAAAAAATGAATAGTGTTTCTTCATGATTCAAGCAAATATTGATAATATTCCGCGCAGCCATTTTCCCCGGTGGCAGAGCGGTTATGCTTCGGCGGGTTTCGTCGCAGATTGACCCCCTTCTCTTCGAGATCAGACGCACCTTTCGCAATCTTCAACAAACATGTACAGAAGCTCTCTTCTGCACCTCCTCAATGTCGGCGGAGGCCGTCGGCGCAAGAGCGGGCTCGCCCATAAAAGTATCTCTCACCGATTCGGCCGGAAGAGGCGTCTTTACCACCCGAAACATCGGCTCCGGCGAGCTCATACACACTGCGAAGCCTCTAGTAACCCACCCTTCTCTCGCCCTCTCCGATCAAGTATATTTACAGCTACTCAATGATGTCCTTTTTCGTTTTGATTTATTCGGTTTGGAGGCTAAATTTATGCCCTTTTTGTATCTCTCTAGGTTTGCTGCTATTGTTTGAAGAAGTTAGACAAGGATGGTTCGAGCGGTATTTTTTCCTCATTGAAGGGGGAAGACGGTACTTCATACTGTTTCTGCAGCGAAGAATGCAGAGATGTATCCAAGGTTTGCGTTTATTTATTTATTTTTCCGGCATCATGGGCTGCTTGGCTACTGTTAGGATTTTGTAATCCTGTAAATCCAGATTTAATAATTTTGAGAGGATTGAAACCGGAAAGCTTTTTGGCATGAAAACTGTTTAATTTTGCTAAACAATGATAAATTATTTGTTGGTTTATTTATTTATTTGTGGGAAAATTTGAGGGCTATGGCCTGCTACTATCATTGATTAAAAGGGAGTTATAAGGAACTTACATGTAAACCTTTGAAAAAAATACATAGGAGTCCTCACCCATGACCAAAAAGAGGAAAATTTATGTTCCAATGACCTGAAAAATCAACACAGAATACATGAAACTGAATTAATAGAGCAAAACGGGATCAAATAACTATGGAAATAGATAATTAGATGCTCATAGACACTGTCCAAAGCAGCGAAGGTAGGCAGACTAAGGCTTCGTTCGTGATGACTTTCTTACTGCTTCTTATAGTAGCTTTATAGTACAAAAATTAAAATAATTGTACTAGAAAATTGCTTTAAGAAGCAATAAAAAGTCATCCCAAACGAAGCCTAAGAATTCCAGCTAAAGCAACATCCAGCTGCAGCTTTGACAGAACCATCCATGGAAACAGAAAATGTCAAAATATAGCGGCTTGAGCCTTGACAACAAACCATGGAAACAAAGGCCCGAAAACAAAAAGCAGCTAGATAGAATTATATAGTGAAGCAACAATACAACTCCCCAACATTTCGGTAGAAACAGAAAATCAAAGACAGTAAGCATCTCGACAAAGGCATGAGTGAGTCCATGGACACACACACCCAGTATAGATATCAAACCAAAATGTTGCCCAGTTTAGTCTAGCAAAAATATAAGATGATTTATCATTATAGACTCCAAAATGAAATAAAAAATACTACAATTAAAGGCAATAGCAGAACAACTGCAAAAAAAAACTCTAGCATCAAAGTGCTAATGAAATGGACGGAACTAGAAACCCCAATTGGCACCACCAGCAAGGATCCAAAGAAGCCTTCATTTAAAATACACTCATTGAATATCTATGTTGCACCGATATGGATACGGCGACACGGATACGACACGATACGGATACGACACGATACGGATACGGGACACGCCAATTCTTAAAAATATAGGTACGGCGTGGACACGGCATTATAATTTATATATCATACATAAAAATTAAAAAAAAAAAAAAAAAAACATTCAAAGCATAATATTTAAAATGATTAAAAAAAAAAAAACATCATTTGTAGCCTTATAGCTTATAATATCAAAAGAAAGTAACATCATTTAAATGTCTAGTACAAAAATAAAAACATAAATTGTCTAGCACACGAAGTTTCAACTATTCAACAGAATGAATGATAGGATTAGCTTCTTCAGTGGTTTGTCTTTAAACTTCTATATCATCTTCAATGAATATCATAGCTTCCAATTCAGGCTCATCAAGTGAAAGATTTGCAATTTCTAATATTCTCATATCCTCAAGAGATTCAAATCCATCTCCAGCAACATCCCACATTCTGGTATTTCCTTCCATATAAGTTGGAGTTTTCCTTAATAGAAGTCGAATGTTTGTATGCACATAAACTAAATCTTTAACCCGTTGTGGAGTAATTTTATTTATCTTCATTGATTGGATGAAAGAGTATGTGCTCCAATTTCTTTTACAACAAGATGAAGATGAAACTTTGCCAAGCAATTTTATGGCGATTGTTTGAAGTAGAGGTGTTGAAGCTCTATGTATCAACCACCACATTTTCGAATCAATTCTCCACCTACCACGCAATGACTCTTGGTCACCAAAGTCCTCTAAATAACCAAAAAATTTAGCAAGCTCAATATTGACACTTCTTCTCTTCTCCTCATTTGGAAAATAATGCTTCAAACATGTCTTGCTCATATTTGAAATTTTTAAATCTTTCTGTGGAGAAACTTGTTGAGGATCCTCTTGAAGCCATTTTTTACTAGAATATCTTCAAATAACATTAAAAGTAAATAGTTTTAGATAATTACTAAACAATAAATTATGAAATAATAATGAAAATATATTAAAATGTTCTGGGATTTAGTAAGTGAGCCAAGCAATGTAAAGGTAAATTACTTTTACTTCACCTATCTTCAATAATGGCATAAATAATATCCCAAAAACTTGGGTTTCCATGAAGTGTGTTCCTCTCATGTCTATATATAATTTTTTTAACCTTGGCTAACATTAAATCCCACATCTCATTTATCTCATAAATGAGATGTAAACAAGACTTATCCGTATCAATAACTCTCAACATCTCATAAATTGAATTTATGAAATTTAATATTTATTCAGTCTCATTCCACTATAAATCATCTAAAAGTTTGTCTTTTACATACCTAGCCTTTCTAACATCATCTTCCCTATAACATGACCATTTGTCACTGATTATCATAGCTTGAAGAGCATTTTTAATTTTTTTTGAATATTCTCAACATCACTATAACTAAGGCAAATTGAGTTTCAGCAACTGCAAGCATTTTCAAATTAGAGAAATCATTGAACATAGAGAGTCTCATAGAGTGATTCATAATAAAATTCCTAATTATACCTGCATCTCCAGCAATAACTATGATCCAATGACATTCATTGTAACTAATTTCGTTTGCCTTGGTATCCTTAGCTGCATAAATATTCTTCAAGGCAAGATTAAGCGTATGCATAACACATGATATGTCCGGAAAATATGAGGATAGATTTGCTCCACAAGTAGACCTGTAGCTCTATAAAATGTGCATTATCAGTAATGACCTAGATAATGTTTGAAGGCCCCACCATCATGATGACTTGTTTGATTAAATTAGAAATTAAGAACTTATTCTTGGTAGTAGAATCTCTTTTGGAAGTTCTTTTCTACTCTTATGCTCAGTTTCATTGATTTTTTTTTGTAATTCAGCCACTTGTGATAAGTTTATCTTTGGGTATACTTTAATTCCATGACCACTAATCTTCAATAAATGTACTTTCACACTATAATATGATCATTTATATGTGACATTATAGTAATTTCATTTGAATGCAATATTGCCATCCCTTCTAACGTTTTTTCCTATTTTAGCCACATGACCCCACAGAGGTTTGTTATCTTCAATATTGGTCTCTGATGGACCATCAACAGACCCAATTCCTCCGCCACTAGAGCTCTTTTCCTATGAAATAATCGATGAATCGACACAAAAAAATTGAATTTAATCTCATATTAATTTTACGATGCATGTGAAAATAAAATGAATGATGGGACTATGGGAGCATGCATAGGAATTTCAACATTGGTCATAATATAACATCCCAACTTGAACATTATTTACAAATTTCTATTCTAATAACATTGTGTAACACTCAAGTTACATTAAAAGATAAAAAAATATTGTACCAAGTTAAAGTAACGCAAACAGGTTTGCATCTAGATTCTAGATATATCTTAAAATACAATACCAACTAAAATAGCATAACATACACAATCTTTATTCCACTAATTTGAAGTCCTTTGTCTTACAGACATATTCTATGTTATTCTATTTTTTCACTTACTTCAATAGTTGTCCCACCTATTAGAACTATCATATACAATAAAACTACCACAAGGCAACCAACTTTAATGTACTTTATAATCATTTTTATAACCAATACCTATAAGATAGACTAAATGTTAATCCATGATATAATCCTACCATAATTAGAAACTCTTGACCTCTCCAAAACTACTTCTAATTTCTAAAAAGTAATTAGGTTTTCTAGAAATTGGTTCATATATCTGCAAACAATTGTTGAAAAAAAAAAACTACTGTTGAAATTGGTTCTGTGGTTCATCACTATTGTTAAAAAAAACTAGAAAAGCAATTAGGTTTTCTAGACATTGGTTCATATATCAAAATCAAAAGCCACATTTGTTTTCAAAGTAATCCTAATAGAAGACAACATGGCATAATTTGGAAAAAATAAAAATCTGCAAACAAACCTTCCAGGAGGCTTCACTGTTCGCGTCGCCTGCTCATGTCGCCTTCAATGCTCGCGTCGTCGTCCAGTAGGCTTCCTTGCATGCATCGGCCTGCTCGCATAGGCTTCAATGCTCGCGGCCTCGTGTACATTTGGCTTGCTCGCATCGTCGAGCTACTCCTTCGACGACGACGAAGAAGATGAATGCCGCTCGAAAACCCTAGTTGTCTGGTTGTGAGAATGCTTAAGCCGCGGAAATGAATAGGCAAATCGAGCGGGGTTGGAAATGAATAGGGTAAATAGAGGGGCTCATTTTTCGTTTCGATTTTTAATACGCATGTCCTGTCAAATTTTAATCTTATTTTAATTGGACACGATAATGCCATATCCGACACGTGTCTGTGCCGTATCGGAGGCGTATTCATATCTGATACGTGTCCGATACAGCATGCCTCGTAAATAGGAGTATCGGTGAAACATAACTAAATATATAGGCAAAGTGGCTTTGAACTTTCATTTCCTACTTTTTTGTCTAATAACAAAAATGATTTTCTTCTTTAAAATAATATGATTGGGTTCTCTCATCACCAAAGATGGTATCGATTTTCTAGCAAAAAATTTCCACCGGTATTTCCGGTGGATTTTCCATCGGTAACTGTCCGGCGAAACCATCCGATGGATTTTTTTTTAGGGAATAAACTTTCCGTCTCGAGAATTACCGTCGAACAACTTTTGACCAGAAATTCGCCCGAAAAGGGATTTTACCAACGGAATTTCATGGTTACCGGCGGATTTTGTCCGCCGGTAATAGGCAATTTCCCTGTAGTGAAGGCATATATTAATTTTTATCAAGGTTGTGAATACCAGAACGGACAACGAATCAGAAGAATGAGGCATTCACAATTTGATGATTCAACCCGGGTCAAACCGTATGACATAATAAATATTAAAATTAGTTAAATAGAATATTAAAATTTTGACATAACTATTTTGATTAAAGCTCATGAATAAGCTCGATTAACTCATGAATAAGCTCAATATAAAGCTTATTAAAAAGCTCGATTAACCATTAATTTGAATATAAGTATATGTATAGTACAAATATAATTATATGCATATTAAATAGTTTTTAAATTTTAAAATGGTTTTTTATCTGTATATATAACTTTAAATATATGTTTAAATTTAAAAAAAAAATTAATTAAATAAAAAATCAATATTAAAATTTTATTTAAATAAAAAATAATATATATTGAACCGGCCATTTCAACAAAACCGGAACTGGTTTTCCGGTTGATGAGAATTTGATTTTCTAACTAGACCGAACCAACAACTTGACCAGTTCATGATTGAACCGGCCAGTCCTATCTGATTTTAAAAACATTGGTTTTTATCATGCATTCATCTTGGTTTTCTTAAATTTTCTGTTCTATTTTATTTATAAATACATAAAATAATTTCCAATGCAAATTTATTTTCTTCTATACCCAAATTAACTTTTCTGCTTCACAAGCATTGCTTTGTATGTTTTAGGAAACTTCACAGACAACAACCTTTGAGTGGTTCATTGTCATTTTCTTATTACTATTAATTTTCAGGCTTGCTGTGAAGTTGAGAGTAAAGCAGATTGGTCACTTTATCACGATCATTGCAGGTACATTCTGGAGATAAATCCATTGCTTAACATTGCCCTTTGTTTCTCGAATACTGCATAACTTCTCCAGGTGCAACCACAAAATTTTGGACGGCTGAAGTTTTTAGCAATTCTTACCAAACTTTTCAGAAAAGTTTTTTGTTCTTCAAAATCACATATTTGCTTCAATGTCAAAACAGGAAACTTAAAACAATCAAGACATTTTCATAGATTGTGTATTTCTACAAAGTGATCAACAACTACAGAATTGTGTTAAGAAAATAGCACATAATGCCATTTAGCTTGTGTTAGCACATCAAAGTGCTCTAGAGCAAAACAAGGTTCAAACGCCCAACCCATTTGCTTTTCTTTCTTTGAAGCACAAAGCTTCAAGAAAACAAATGAACTGTGTTTTGCGCTACATCCTGGTATGCATAAGGGCAACTTAAGATACACATGACCCTTTATTTCTGATGGGTTTTGAACTGCAATTGTAACTCAAAAAATGTTGTGATTTGGTGTTTCACCAATATCACATGATGGCTAGCCTTCTTCTTTTCATACATTTGGAACTAAAAATATGAGAATGTAATTTCCTTTTTGTATTCTAAAATGTTTCTTAATCCTAAATCCATAATTCATTCACATTAAGTTTAACTTGGCTTTTTGTTGTAAAGACAGTTCCAGTTAATCATATAATCCAAAATTGTTGCACCAAGATTCATATTTCCATGATCCTTATGTAATGAGCGCAGATTTAAGCAATGGTCTTTTGAATCACCACCATCAGATCACCTTAAGATACATGATGACCCTTTAGTCAAACCTAAAGAATTAACATTGATCTTGAAACTTCAACTGTGATCTATTGATCCTACTCATATTACACATGTTACCATTCTTAAAACCATTCAATAACCAGATTTAGATTTCGACAATAAGCGTCACAAACCCTATAGGCTCTACCCGTCCTTCCTTTATCTTAGCGGTGTCATGGTCCAATTGTTATCATTAAAGATAGGGTATCTTGTGTTAGCACACCACGACCACTACCAGCATACCGCGAGGACCACATTCTCAGTCTATGGACCTGCTCCACTGCATCTGCATTAACACTGTCATCAGCTGCTTAGCACTTCTTTTATAATCAACTGTCCTCTACTCTCTCTCTCTCTCTCTCTTCTCTTGTTATCGGGAGGGGTAATTAACTATAGGGGCTTGCGCTTATAGGAAACCAGAACTCAGATCATAAAGTCCTCACCAAATGAGGGCGAAATCTCTGGGTAGTGTCTTATCTACAAACCCATCTGCCTTCCAAAATTTACCTCGGAACTTAGTTCGTTAAAACTCCATCGCCGAATAAGAAAAGCGAGCGGAGGCCGAGGCCGAATTTTCGGAGCCCACAATTACATAAATTAGAGCAATTGAGCTATCCTTATCTGTAGGCTTTTAATTTTAAGCCACTAAAACAATCCTCTTTTAGCTTTCAGTTTTAGCTTTAGAATGGAAGTGGAGAGATGAGCTGAATATATATAATATTGATTTAGTTGGCTGCGCTGTCATGAGTGCGCGGCTGTAGCATTTATGTTGCGCAAAAAAGCGAGGAAAAGCAAAATCCTTCACAGTAATTAATTAGATTATTAGCATTGGAAAAATAATTAAATAATTAGATGATAATTTGATATTTAATAATTAATATTAGATAATAAATAATTAGTTAGCAACAAAAAGTTTTAATAAAATCATATTTAAATTGTTAAATATTTTAAATAATAATTAATCAAATAGTCCTACAACTCTACATCAAAATCTCTTTTCATCATTCTTTTCGCACCCTCCCTCCGCCCATGTATATATATATATATACACACACACTCATGTATCGTAATATTTTACATAAATGCTACAGTAATTTAGAACAAAAATATTCCCTCAAGTTTTCATCTTCTTCCTCTTTGTCTCTCTGTTACTTACTCTGTGCTGTAGGTTTTGTCATGGTATTAGAGCTATAGCTTAATTGCAATCCATATACTGTCCAATGGCATATCAAGAGTCAGCTGTTTCCCTCCTGCCCAACTTCAATCTCTCCGCCTCTATGGTTGAGTTCGCTGTCCCTACTCAGCTCACCAATGACAACTACGCTATCTGGCGGCTTCAAATTTATTAGCATTTCTCAACCAAGGGCTTTGATGGATATCTCGCCGGTGCCAAACCTTGTCCGCTCGAACCCTCACCCACCTCCCCAAATACCGACTACAACCTCTGGTGCCTCGTCGACCGCAACCTAATATCTACCCACTTCCCAAAATGGTGTTGCAACGGTGCGAGATGGACTGGACTAGTTTCTTTCTCGTTTTTCTGAAGGATTGCGTCCCTTGGGATTATTTTGCTTGGCTTTCTCTTGTATTTTTAGTAAGTAGACATTGAGAACGATGTATGTGAGAAGAGAAGAAATGAGAGAATGAGTGAGAAGAGAGATTTGTACTTATTTCTCCCAATTTTGGAGCAGACTTCTTGGTGTGGTGTGGCTCTGTAGTTTTTTTCCCTATTTTGGGTTTTTCCACATTAAATTCTGGTGTCCTTTACTTTTCTGCTGCTTTTACTTTCTTGCTTTTTTTGTCATTGTGTTGTTTACTCATCATCTCCCCAACAAAGGGGGAGTTATTTAGGGTTTAGAGTGTACTTTTGCTGAGCTGTATTTTGTTGTATTTCTTTTCTTTGAGGGCTTCCTAGAGGCGTCTAGGTTGTTTGAGAGAATCAATTTACCTTTCTAATCGCATATCACCTAAATCTTGTCTTTTTCTTTGTATATAATCCAATAAAAAGTGTTCAAGAGTGTTCTTCTTCATCGTTTACTTTTTACCAATTTCTGTTTTACTGAATTTGAATATTCAACCAAGATTTTTTTCAAGTTCTGCATCTACTTTGTATTAGTCTGCTTGCTCAAACCTAGCTCATTTTCACACAAGATCTGTCCAAATATCTTTGCCTATTCCAACTCTAAATACTGTACATTTAAACGGCATCATGTAATAGTTGCAGTTTTAGTTGAGGTTAGGTTTTCACCAAAGCTTCTCTGGATAAAAAATGTTTTCAGTTAGTATTTCCTAACCATATTCCTCTCTTATGCAGAGCAAAAGGTTTGAAATATCCATTGATGGTAAAACGGTTCGCGTGCATGGTTATATCAGGAGCAGCATCTGCCGATGATCTTGGTATACTCCAACCAGCCAGGTTACTTCCTGGGGCTGTCTCACAAGTGAGTGACTCTTCAGACTACCATAACATCCTGTCTGTAGGATTTAATGCGGGGAGTTTAAGGTGTGAGACACCGGTTAGAAGTAATACTGTATGCCATGCAGATTGTATCTTTAAACCCTTAATTATGTAGCTCAAGAAATATCATCCCTTACCCACAAAGCATTGAATTCCTCAGTCTGTTTTGTCAGTGTGGTCCTTAAACTGTCTCGAGCACTTTTGGGTTGCTCAACTGATCTTTGTAATTAACATTGTGAGGATCTGGCGACCGGCGGTGTCCTTCCTGAGGTCTACAGGTTTCTGACGACCACGGTGGGACCAGTTTCTCTCTTCATCTTTGGATTCTATATTATGGTTGGCGAAGAATCGTCAAGCAAATATTCTTATCCGACTGTTCTATAATTTCTATACTCTATCTTATTTTTGTTGAAACCGTTAGCTGTACAAGTTATTTAAACTTATATGAGATACATGTTGTCTTTTGACCTTTCAGATGGAAGAAGAGTTTGAATTGCTCAAACGGACTTTATTGAAGGCCCAGATTGATGAAAGGCTAACTGGATGTATCCTTTATCATAGATGTGGGAAAATTTGTGCTGATATCTGTTGACAGTTTTTCAACTATTGCAAAAAGAAACTTTTCTTTGACTATAATAGTTCTGACAAAGCAATGGTACATGGGTGTGCTGGCAAGGATTCGCATAAATGCATTCCGCATTGAATTAGTCGCAGCTTCATATAAAGATCTACTTGAATCAGCAACGGCTTCTGTTGCAGCTCAAGCTGCTGTTGGCAATGCTCTGTATATGCTTCCATCATTCTATAATCATGACTGTGGTATGCCTTTTTTCAAACTTGGTATCTTTTTTTACTTGGATGTTAGCCTCATCCCAACTTTAAACACTTAATTCAACACTCAACATACTCAATTGTTTTTGTTTGGTATCATTACAACTTAATGTTGTAAAAATCAGACTGGACATCGGGACATAGAACAAGAATAAGTAGAGGTTCAAAATTTAATGGCTCAACTGAGATTCAACCAGATGCCATATAAATATTTTTTTTAAAGATCTAAATGAGATATTAATGATGTAATAATTATGCAATAATATAAATTTGTGATTAAAAACTAAAAAAAATCATACATAAATAATATCTTCTGTAATTTTAAATTTAAACACATTTAATTTTTAAATTTAATTTACATTTAATATAATGTTAGTTTATATATAAATTTATAAATTTAATATAAATTATTATTAATTTATGTTGCATGCTTAGATATAATTTACATCTATACGTTATACCAAATTTATATGATAAATTTGCATCTACAAACATTTTGCAGATCCTAATACGCACATAGTATGGATTGACAGTGCATTTGCAAAGCTGAAAGCTCTTCGTCACATTGAAGAAGGTCTCAGTTTCACTCTATGCATAATTTTGCTTCTGAATAGCACACAAAATCCATAGTATGAACAACCAATTTGTTCTCAGGTGAGGAGCTCCGCATATGCTACCTTGATGCAAGCTTGGATTGTGCTGCTCGTCAGAAACTTCTTTCTGAAGGTTTTGGGTTTCATTGTCGCTGCTTCAGATGCCTCTCCCATGACTGAGAAGCTGCAAATATCAGAGACAAGCAAAATATCTCTATTTGAATCCACAAACATTTCTGAAGGTTTTGGGTTTCAGTTAGAATTTTGGTTTAACAGGCTTCAGATTAGTTGAGCATGTTAGAAGGCTCAGGCTTGAATCTCTGATCTTTTTCAATGTTAGAAGGCTCAAGCTGAAAATGTAACTACGTTGTGCATGTGAGAAGATTTGTAAAGCTGGGCAAAAGCTCAACTAGTCGTTGGCCTATATGTTGTAACCTAATTCTTAAGTGTTGTTACAGTGTCATCTTTCTATTGTATTATAGAAATAAGAATGATATTCTTTATGACTAAAGTATCAAACAACAGTGAAATTCACAGTGGTGGTAACATACAATATTCAATAGTGTTTTGGTATGTTGATTTTTTTTTTCTTTTTTTTAGACTTTTGAGCGAATTAAATGCTAAACTCGCACAATCATATATGCAAGCTTCAAACTCATTATCTCTTGGTTGATAGACAGAGCTCCTAATCAATAGATCAAGAGGTTAGTTGCATAAGCATGATATTGTAAATTATATTAATGAAATAAATATTTAAAATAATTAGTTGTTGATGGTGGTAAAAGAAGTAAAAATATAAAACAATTAGTCTAAAGAATGTATTTTCCTTGCAATAGAACCACAAAAATTTGTCAACTTTTACTAAATAATTATAAATATTTTATATTTGTTTTAAAATAAATATAAGATGTGAATGGTTAATTAATTCTTATTTCACATTTATCTCAAAATAAATTTTTAAAAAATAAAATTCATGAAAACTAAATTTAGTATGGATGTTCTCACTTAATTCTTTTAATTTATTCATAAATAAAAAGATGAAATTTGTTTTTATTTTTATATAAATGTAAAATAACTCATAAAATTCTAAGTTCCAATCAAATAATTAAATTTTTAATATCCTGCATCTCTTTTAAACTGGAAATAGTATCCGGAATACCGAAATTGTTTACTAGTTATGTTAAATAAATCTGGACGAACAACATGTCAAGCGTTTGTAGTCCAACGGTTAGGATAATTGCCTTCCAAGCAATAGACCCGGGTTCCACTCCCGGCAAACGCATGGTGTCTTTTATTTCTTTGAAATGCAGAATTTTATATGGTTATTAAGGCTCTGATCCAATTTTTTAATTTTTGTTAATAATAATGATGTGCTTTAATGGGAATTATTTATTTTTATGTACTTTTTATAAAGGGCATTAATGAAAAGAAAAAAAAATCAAGCTCATATAGACAATTGTAATATATTTTATGAAAATAATTTTTTTTATTATTATCCATTTAACATAAAATGAACAAAAACAGTGCAAACAATTCTGAACAGATAGCTTATTGATTTTCATTTATAAAGTATAAATATCATATCCTTTACATTTTTTGGTTAAATATAGTTCTAACTTTTAAGCCTTACTCTCTCACCAACTCAACCCTATCACCAAAATCTTCCCTCTCTATTACTTGTGCTAAATTAAATTGATCAGCTCCATTGCATGAGGAAGGCAAAAAGATGGCTTTCTTCAACCCACTCATGAACCAACTTTTACTTCACCCCTTTTAAGAATCTACTTATCATTTTTCCCTTCTCACATCTGCTTAGTTAGTTGACTTGCTTGCTTATAATTTTAGGAGGTTTTTAGCTATAGATTTCTCACCTAATTCCTTTCTCATTTCTCTCACACATCTTAGTTCCCTATTTATTCCATTCAAAATTAGTCACTTTTAGCAACCATGGGCATCTCTAATTATCTTAACTCTGTTAACACCTTCATGAAGAATCCTACACATTCGACATTTAGTAAGGTAAATCATAATCATCATCATATCTCTAATGGTTTGATGATGTTATCAATGAGGAAAGATAACAACATGGTAGCTCAATGTCAAAGTAGAAGCAATGTTGGGAATCCAAATGTTAGTCTTCCAATCTCAACAAAGAGGCCATTGGCGACGGCGGCGGCGATAACGAAGGATAACATAACCTCATCAAAGGAACAAAATGAGGTCGATCTGCTGGATTTAGTGGCATGTGATAAAGAAAATGGAAGCACTAATATGGTAGGCTTTGAAAGAGGCATTGGAATTGCAAAGTTCTTGAGGGGGAAGAGTTTATTTATCACTGGCGCAACAGGCTTCCTTGCAAAAGGTGATGATAATTATTCCATTGCAATCATGTTATCTTCATTCTGTTCTGATGTATATATATATATATTTATGATTTTCTCCTTTTAGTTCTTATTGAGAAGATATTGAGGACGACACCGGATATCAATAAGATTTATGTCCTTATCAAGGCTAAGAGCAAGGAAGCTGCACTTGATAGGGTGAAGACTGAAGTATGAATCCATTGCTTTTAGATTTTATGACTATGAAACTTGTGTTATTTTATATGATTTTCTAATTTTTTGCTTTTATTTTCAGATTCTAAATACAGAACTCTTTAGGCCATTGCAACAAATCCATGGAAACAAGTACCAGACTTTTATGATGAAGAAGTTGGTTCCAGTTATGGGGAATGTGAGAGAAGCTAATATGGGGATTGAGGCATCACTTGCTGAGGAGATTTCAAAAGAGGTTGATGTTATAGTGAACTCTGCTGCAAACACGACTTTTGATGAGAGGTTTTTATTGAGCATTTATACTATGGTCATAGAAATTTTTATTAGAAGTTTATTTTTTAGTATGATTTAGTAGAGAAAATAAATATATATAGATATGATGTTGCACTTGACATAAACACCATGGGAGCTTTTAGGCTCTTGAGCTTTGCAAAGAGATTCAAAAGACTAAAGCTTTTCTTACATGTATCAACAGGTCAGCTACTAAATTAATGCAAATAAAAAATAGAAAGATATTTCCTTCTTTGTAGTTTTTATGGTCTCATTCATTCCTTAAATGCCAGCTTATGTGAATGGAAAAAGACAAGGAAGGGTATTGGAAAAGCCTTTTTGCATTGGAGATAGCATAGCAAAGGAGATTACCTCTCAAGAACTTTCAGCAGAATCCATGCCTTCGCTGGACATCGAAGCCGAGATTAGGCTAGCTTTCAGTTCTAGGAAGTCTTCTGATGATGCATCACTGATGCAGGAGATGAAGGATCTTGGCCTAAAGAGGTAACCAAAAATTATTCTCATACGTGCTTAAGTTAATTCATTTGTTCACTCGAAAAAACATGTTGTTGGAGAAATCATTAAGGCTTGGTTTGGGACGGCTTTTTTACCGATTCTTGAAGCATCTTTTTAGTACAAAAAATTTAATTTTTATACTAAAAAGCTGCTTCAAGAAATAGGAAAAAAACTGTCTCAAACGAAGCCTAAGTCACCTTCGCTGTGATCTGTAGATGGTGATTTAGAGCTATGATAACAACTTGCTTAGTATATAGTAAGGCTGCATGCATCAGCATCGCCATAGATGCAATATTATCAGAAACTTCATTTATTTAGTGAAAGAACTAAAATTTGTATATAGGGCAAAGATTTATGGATGGCAAGACACCTATGTCTTCACAAAGGCGATGGCAGAGATGGTGATCAATAGCATGAGAGGAGATATACCAGTTATCACAATTAGGCCAAGTGTTATTGAGAGCACCTGGAAAGAACCATTTCCTGGTTGGATGGAAGGAAATAGGTAAGCTCTTTCAAAGTTTTCCTTTCAAACATTGTCAAATTTATATGATTAATCACTTTCAACTCACTATTTATTATACTTAATGCTCCTCAGAATGATGGATCCTATTGTGTTATACTATGGTAAAGGCCAGCTTACTGGTTTTTTAGCAGATCCAAAGGGAGTCCTTGATGTGGTAATTACTTCCATACTTTTCATAATATACCATTTACAGTAATAATTTCATTTTTACGGATAGAATAAGTGAAAATGACATCATCATTTTTTTAAATTTTTTATTCACAGCCAACCAAATAAAGCTCTTAACTATTCCAATTTATGGTGAGGTTGAAATCAATTATCATTTTGTCTTAGGTACCTGCTGATATGGTAGTGAATGCTATATTGGCAGCCATGGCAAAGCATGGGTGGACAAAGGAGCCAGGAATTCACACATACCATATTGCCTCCTCCATAGTGAATCCTCTGGTTTTCCAAGAATTGGCAAGTCTCCTTTATCAACATTTTAACTCTTTTCCTTGCCTAGATTCGAAGGGTAGGCCAATTGAAGTTTCTCAAATGAAGCTCTTTGAAGACATAAGCAAATTCTCTATTTATGTTAATAGCAATGCAATGCAAAAAATGTCCTCACATGAGAAAGTGCCCCAAAATCTCAAGAACATTTGTATGAAGTTGGTTGATCAAGCCAAATACTTAGCTAGCATTTATGAACCATACACTTTCTATGGTGGAAGGTCAGGTTTATTCTTTATTTTTCATGAATTTGAAATTAAGATTTGCATCCAATGATGAGTGTTTTGATGTTGGTTTCAGGTTTGATAACACGAACACGCAAAAGCTGATGGTTGAGATGTCTGAGGATGAGAGGAGGGAGTTTTGTTTTGATGTTGGAGAAATAGATTGGCAAGACTATATTTCTAATGTTCATATACCTGGACTGAGAAGATATGTTATGAAGGGAAGAGGGATGAAATAATTCAAAACTTGTGGATGCTAAAGCATGAAAAAATCGAAAAAAAATAAAAACCCTTTGTATTATTTGAAATTTCAGTGTTTTTTATGCTCTAAAGTCATTAAGAAAAGTATTTTCCTTGAAAACTTGAACATTTTCTTAGGTGATCGATGAGGGCAATGTTTTCAACTATGTAATCTTAAGTTATTTAGATGGTATAACAAATGCTAAATATATGCATGTTAGAATTGAGATGGGTGTTTATATGTTTTTTTCAATCTTATTCATATTAATGCGGCTTTTTTTATAATACAAATATGACCAATGTTACCCAATAGAATAATTGTAAAAAAGGCTTAATGACCAAGCACTACAAATGAGGCTAAATGGGCTCCATCCATAGTGTGTGGCTTAGTTAAGCAGTCATCCCACTCCAATGAGTGATGGACATTGAGCTATCTAAATAATTCTATGAAATTATCTTTGTCATTTATGAATAGTATTAAAACTTCATTGAGTAAAATAATAACTTTGATTTGAGCAAGCCCAATTCTGATGTTCTAGGAGCTCAATCCCAACTTAATTGCTTCTATCTCAAGAATTTGTTGTTAATCCACCAAGCTGACTATGCTTCATACATTATTTAGTATGGTGTACATAGGAAGTAAGGAATTTGCTAAGTGGCTTTGATGAGTTCTATTGCATGTCAAATAGTAGTTTTAGGTCAATCGAAGCTCTTAACAAAAGTCATGAGTCAAAATTATCAAGCCATGAACTCGAACTCAAAACTAGCTCGAGTTGAGATTGATAATTTTTTTGCTCATTTGCTTGCAAATCAGTTCAATTAGAATAGATAGGTAAACCCTAATATACATTTCTCCCTACTTTGGCTTAATCCCAAGCTTGTTCGTGCTCCACTTCTTCTTCAAATGCTATTGGTCCCATCGATGCCTTTTCCGATGGGCTCTTGTTGACCTCCTCATCATAAGTCTTGTTGATTCCTTCTCCAACAAGCTCTAGCTTCAACTTCCTTTCCATATCACCATTGATAATTCTATAGAGAGCTCTCGCTGCAACTTCCTCACGATCAATCCCTTACCCAACTAGCTCGAGTCGCAACTTTTTTGTTGATCCGTTCTCCAATGATCCCCTCTAATGAATTCCTTGCTTCTTTGACATTGAGGCTTTAACAATTTAGGAGAGGCAAATCATACCAAACTCACGAGTCCAACTCAAGCCTTGATTTGATAATACAAGTTGAGCTCGAGCTCAATAATTGAGCTCAACTCGAGCTCCTATATTGAGATTGATCCTATTGTGGGATATGCTAGCCAAGCTCAAGACTTCACTCATTTATACCCCTAGCCTATATTGATTTCCTAAATGCAAAAAATAAAAAAATAAAAAAACATTGACTTCCTTCTTGAGGGGTTTCGCTCCTTAGGACTCATGGTTTAAAAATTGGATTGGACCAACTAGTGAAACCACGACACAATCTTGTGATATCTATTATGGAATGATGAATGAATGAAATCTATTTTGATAATATTGTTCTTTTTAGCTATGCCAAAATGATGAATTTTCATGTGCTTGAAGGCAATGAATTCTCCATGAAAACGTATTTCAGCACCAAGAATGAATACATGGTGAAGGATTTGCCTGTGAATTCATCTCGCTCCTTCACCTCTATAGAAGATAAATTGAGAATGTGAAGAAGAATAACATGTTGAAGAAATACTCGATCATGGGATATGATCCCATGAAAGAAAATAAGTTCTTTGAGGTTTCTGTAATCTCATCCCGACCAGGACTCTTTCATCCATTGAACACTTATTCATTTTGTCTCGGATAAAAAAAAAACTAAATATTACAGAATACTTAGATTCCATCATGATATTTTCAAGAAAAGGAGGAATTGGTCTAAGGATGACAAGAAAGAGAACAACTTTGTGTAGAGATGCCAAATGGTAAAAGGAAACAGGAAAGAAGTACTTTGATTAACTCTTGTGGAGGCTATTCTTTTAACTTCTTGTATGAAGATTATGTTTGTGCTCGGTCCAATTGCTAAAGATCATTACCACCACCTCATAAATCACTTAATAAAAATAAAAAATAACATGCTTTTAAAAAATCAAATATATTTTATTCCATGTTAAAAACATAAACAAAATAATTTAAATTAAGGTTGCTACAATATAGGACATTTAAATAGAAGTTGAAAATAATATGAATGGCCAATTTTGTAGCATTTGTTGGCTTCTATTTATGTTTAAATGCACTCTAGTTTTTAGTATTTATCTTATAATTTTAATTATTGGTCTTCCTTTTTAGCATTTAGATGATTTATGAGAAGTCGGTGAAATGATATGGTAACTTTAAGGATTTGATGATATACATATTTTGTTGTCTCAGATGGATGTTAAGAGTAGTTTGATAGGATGTGGATGTAGAAATTGAGAAAACTAGGGAGAAGAACACACAATAACTTTCACTAAATAATTCTCTCTCAATTGTAATTAAAATTTATATAAACAATTCCCCATTGATTCCTCCTCCCTTTTCCTAAAAATTTCCTCTTAGATATTGAAATCAAATTATATCTCTTACCCTAAATAATTCCCTCTCAATGGCAATTAAATTTTTTCTAAACAATTCCCCTTTGATTAAGAACCTTCCTAAACAGCTTCCTTTTAATTAGGAAACTTCTCAATTTCCTCCCAATTAAATTGACAGGTCCATCTTAGTTTTCTCCTGTGAATTCAAAAAATGGATGAAGTAGAAATAATTTGCAACGAATTTTGTTTTTGCAAATCTTCTCTTGATCAAAAAGGCTTCAACTCAATGAAGAAGTTGAGTGCAAAGAATGTAGTGGGAGCAAAAAGGGTGAATTGTTTTGCCCCAATGAGCTCATGAAGGTGTCATATATTGATGTCCATCAATTTGCGGATGATCTGACTGCACTCGGAAAATCCTGCATCTTTGACTTTCAGGAAGTGGTATATGTTGAAGGCTTCGTTTAGGGTGATTTTTTTTTATTGTTTCTTTAAAAAAAAATTAGCGTAAAACTTAAAATTTTTATACTAAGAAGTTGATTTAAAAAGCAGTAAGAAAGTCGTCCCAAACAAAGCCGAAGTTAGCATGGAGGAACTTTTGTCTCCTAAAATAATTGAAATGGTTGTGTTCTAACTTGACTGTCCACGAGAAAACCATTATCAACAATCATGCAGGTTGCTCACGATTACAAATGAGATAATATTAGGATTGCCGAAATTAGAATTGTTTGACTCTCCGGTGGGTGAAAGCCCCAATGTTTAATGGTTTTCACACCCATGGGTATGCCGGATAAGCCTATTTTTTGGATTTCTTATCATAAGCCTATCACTGTTCCCTGCTAATTTTGTACTGCTTGAAACATCATGGCTGATTAAAGAAGATGAGGATACTTGCATAAAGGTATATCTTAGGGCATCTCCAACCGAACTTCATTCCCTTGTTTGGCGTCCGCGAACTTCTCCAGTTGAACAGCAAAATGCGCAGCATTCTCTCGTTCGTGAACAGTGCAACACCAATATTGACGCCGTACTGTTCACAAATGCATTTTTGAGGGAAACAGAGAAAGCGGAGAGGAGAAAGGCTAGCATGTGTAGTTGAGTAAGAGTATACACGGAATATTCTTTTTTTGTCTTAAAAAATAGAGTTCAGTTGAGGAAGAATTACTACATTTTGAAGTATTACTGTATTTTGGAGTAGAAAATGAGTAATTCGGTTGGAGATGATCTTAGCCTTTAAAATAAGAATTTGCTTTATTCATTGCTCAATAGGATGTCTTACCACTAGTAATTCAATCATTTCCATGATAAAGGTGCCTACAGTACAGAAACAGGTTCTGTTCTTTATTATTATCCTTTTTAACAGTTGCTCTTTTTGAACAAAAAGGGAAGTATATCTTGATTCATTGTAATCTCACAAGATATTATGACTTGAATGAATTCACTCGAATGGGCATAGTACATCCACACACTGAAGTTAAACTAGGATACTTCAATCATAAATTATACTTCGAATCAATGGATGAAGCTTATAAATTTTCTTGGAAACCTCCAACCAAATACTGGCCTCCTTGTACTAGTAATTCAATGGTACAGTGCATTTTACAGAGTAAATTGCAAAGTTCTTCCTGTTCATGGACAACTTCCATTCCAGTAGGAGCTGCAGTTGAAAGGTTAAATTGAGTAAAACAAATTGGGCTGGAGTTCTATGTAAATTTGCATGCTTGATATCACCTTTGCTTAAAATGCCTGCATTTGTTGTTGTGAATGAATTGTCAGAATAGTTGGAATGGAAGCACCGAAATTGTATTGCGATTCTCCATCAACTTGGCATTGAGAATTCCACCAACTCGAAGGCAAGGCCTGGTGATTTACCTGCTTTTAAAGACGTACAACTGAAGAACTTCCTACAATTAAATCTAATCATTACTTATCTACCTAATGCTACCAGTTTCTGAAGTCTTGCATTTCCATGTAGTTATCTTCCAACTCTTCTGCGAATGTGATGAGGAGCATTGTAGCTTAAAAGGTTTCTTAGGATATCTTATGTAATTTTTTACAAATTTGTTTCATGTTTTCTAGAATCTTTTAGGTTTCTCTAACTTTATCTACTTGATATTATATATAGAATGATGCAAGAAGAATGGGGGGTTTGATGAATATTATATGAATTGAAGCTTCATGCTTGATTTGTTCTCTTATTTTTAGAAATCCTCCAAGCATCATCTTCTTATAATAATCCAACGATTATCCCCCACATCAGACTGTAAGACGCAGAGAAATACATTTACGTGCCTCCCCAACAACTACAAATTTTGAGAAGTTCTGTCCTTCCTCCTCACCTTCGGATTTGGCTAATTTCATTTGCAGAGCTAGCCTCACTTGATTTGGCTGTTTTTCTTCTCCTTGTCAAGATATATTCATCTGTAATGCCTGCAATCTTTAATTTCTCTTAGAAGATTGTGTCTTTTGATGGTCTAAAGCGATATTTGCTAAGAAAGATATAAGCAGAACAAAGATCATGGCAAAAGGTTTGGGAGGCAGAGAAAAGTATTAAGTGCGGCATCCAGATTCACTCAGAAACAAATCTGGACACACCATGTCATCCAAGGCCCGGTGCATCCAAATGATGTGATGCATCAGGATTCGCCTCCAAATGGTCCGGACACTGCACATAATAATATCTCTGGCAGGCAGGGAGCAAGAATTCACTGTCATCAGAAAGTGGATATTCTTCCCATGCTGAGTAAGAAAATTCTGCAACTAACCCTTTCAGAACATCTGTAAAATTTTCACATCAAGAAAAATGTTGTGAATCCTGAAAAGGAGTAATTTCTCTGTGCGGGTTTCCTCTATGGAAGATTTGGTCAAGAATATTGTTCATCTTAGAACTTGTTCTTCTTGAACGCTGCTCTTACCTTGAAACAAAAAGTCGCAGAACTAAAAACCCATAGCTAATAAGGAAGCTTGCAAGTTGCAACTGAGCATCTATGTCATCATTAATTGCGCTATTCGAATTATTCAGAGTAACATTATTAGCCACATCATACTCATTGAGAATAAACTATACAAATGAATACTCACTATACATTCAGTTTCTATAATATTTCATTTCAACATATACAAATCCAATAACCTCTCTCATATAGTTATTTCATAATTTTTTTTTGTTTAGGGTTATATATATTTATCAACTCTTTTAATCACAATTATCAACAATTTTTTTATAGTTCAATTTGACTCACAACACATGCAGCTCCAAAAACTGAACTCCAGTCATCAATAACTATTAATTTTATCACCCGACACCAATAAGCACAAAATTGCAGCTCCAAAAAACTAAGGTTCTGAATGTCAAAAATGGACAACACCAGCTAAAAGAAGATGAGGAAACGAAGCTAAGCAATTCCATGAACAAGTTAAGTTCAAAAATCAAAGGTAAAGCACACATAAAGACCACCACCACCACCACAAAGGTTTGAAATGTAGGCTGACATGACAGTATATCTAGCAGAATTACAACAAAACAAATTAACAAAGAAGACTAGAATCACACACATTCAATGCATAGCCACAAACTCAATAGTCCTCTGCTTCATCTACATCATCATCAGCACCCTCAGCGCCAACTTCTTCATAGTCTTTCTCGAGGGCTGCAAGATCCTCCCGAGCCTCGGAGAACTCTCCTTCTTCCATTCCTTCTCCCACATACCAATGCACAAAAGCACGTTTTGCATACATGAGATCAAACTTGTGGTCAATGCGGGAGAACACCTCAGCCACAGCAGTGTTGTTGCTAATCATGCACACTGCACGTTGCACCTTGGCGAGATCACCTCCAGGAACAACAGTAGGAGGTTGGTAGTTGATTCCGCACTTGAAACCCGTTGGGCACCTGCAAAAATATGGTGAAAATCCTCCTTCAGATCAATAAATTTTGCAGCACAAAAGGTTATCACTTCCAGCAAACAACAACAACATCAAGCCTTTGTAGCACTACGTGGGGTCAACTACATGAATCCTTTTTCTTCATTATGTCCTATTAAAAATCAAATTCGCATTTAAATCTAATAAAGAAAGATCATTTCTAATATTTTCTAACCAAGTCTTTTTAGGTCTACCTCTACCTTTCTTAACATAAATCAAATCTAATACCTCAACTTTCCTAACAGGGTTGTAAGGCCTCTATTTAATGCGGTCAAACCATCTATGGCGACTCTCTCTAATCTTACCTTCTGCTAGAGCTACTCCAACCTTTTCACATATATGCTCATTTCGTATTCTATCTCTAAGGGTAAAGCCATTCAACCACCTAAGCATCCTCATCTATGTAACACTTAACTCACTATTATGCTTCTCTCCAACATAATAAGAGAAACTATTTGATGATTGAATCTCACCAATCAACAAATTGAACTGTCCTCTTTGTTTTGATTGTGGCAACGGCTGCATTAACATCCTTGGGGACAACATCTCCACGGTACATGAGGCAGCAAGCCATGTACTTCCCATGCCTTGGGTCACACTTGGCCATCATATTTGAAGGTTCAAAGACCGCATTAGTGATCTCAGGAACTGAGTGCTGTTCGTGGTATGCCTTCTCGGCGGAGATGACCGGAGCATATGAGGAAAGCATGAAATGGATTCGAGGGTAGGGTACAAGGTTGGTCTGGAACTCAGTTATATCAACATTGATAGCTCCATCAAACCTAAGAGAAGTGGTCAGGGATGAAATGATCTGAGAGATCAAACGGTTGAGGTTGGTGTAAGTAGGCCTCTCAATATCGAGAGACCGCCTGCAGATATCATAAATGGCCTCATTGTCCAAAAGGACAGCAACATCAGTGTGCTCCAGCAGCGAGTGTGTGGACAGGACGCTGTTATATGGCTCAACTACTGCTGTGGAAACCTGAAAAAAAAATATTCATGGAATCAAAATATACATACAGAGCTTAATTCAAAATTAATACTTGGATTGTTCCCCACATGCATGAGACTATGAGAGCATTAACAGCTAGCACAAATCCTTATTAAATAGAGAGACAAACAAAATAATAGAAAGGCCCACAATAGCTGCCATGCACGTGGCTTAGCATACATAAAGTATAATAAAACTAGACACTTTAAAGTGGTTATTAGTTACTTTCGTAGCATGTGCAAACAAGTAATTGGAGAAGGCTTCAAATGAAGCAAGTATAGGAGCAGTTCTATAAGCCTTTTGATTTATATTGATTTACTGAGCAAGAACAGGGAAATAACATTTACAGTAGGGATTATAGAAATATTCTCAAGTTTTTAGTTATTATAGGTACTTTATATCTGCTAAGCACTATATGACTTTTAATATGTTTCAAAGAAAAATTAGGATAAAGAATCATTCCAAATAAAATTATAATCCAACAATTACAATCATGAGAGATAACTTCAATAACCAAAATATTATAAAATATAAAGGTATAGCAAAGAGGAGAGCTTATATCATAATTGCAGGGATAACAATCATCTTCCTTAAAATATACCTGTGGGGAAGGATAGATGGTAAAGCCAAGTTTTGATTTTTTTCCGTAGTCCACGGACAACCTCTCTAACAACAACGAGCCCAATCCAGATCCAGTGCCACCACCGACAGCGTTGAAAACTAGAAAACCCTGCAAACCAGTGCAATTGTCTGCTAATTTTCTAACCCGGTCAAGGCACAAGTCCACAATCTCTTTTCCAACTGCATTTCATAAGTAAATAATCAGTTTCATTCCAGAGCCATAAACCATGAAGAATCCTTCCATTTCTAAATGAAACAAAAGGCTATTTTTCAACACCTGTGTAATGTCCCCTAGCAAAGTTATTTGCAGCATCTTCCTTCCCAGAGATCAGCTGTTCTGGATGGAAGAGTTGCCTGTAGGCACCAGTCCTCACCTCATCGATTACAGTTGGCTCAAGATCTACAAATACTGCTCTCGGTACATGCTTACCTGCACCTGTCTCGCTGAAGAAGGTATTGAAGGCGTCATGAGCAACGCCCACTGACGTATCACTGTCCAAAGTTAACAAAATGGGAAACACAATCAGTTCATGTAGCAAGGTCTGCTAAATTTCCAAACGGACATAAATCATTATATACACGCAAGAATGCAAGTCTTAGACACAGTCCAAACAAATGCATCCAAGTGAAAGAACTCAATGAAAACTTAGCGCAACAAGCCTGCTTTTGAAGGAATTGCAAAAATATTTATGAAGTATTAAAAATAAGTATCAAATGGAATGAAGCAGAAAAACAACAAGAACCCCGGATATAATTCCCCAAGTTGAGCAAGAACTAAGCAACCACCAATTTTATAAAAGTACAGCAAATCTGAAGGACTAAGAAGCCTCAAACCTGAAAAAGCTAAAACCTTCCAGCAAGTACGGAGAGACGAAGGATCTTATGAAGAAACGTAAAGTCTAAAAGAAAAAAAAAATTGCAAATTTTCCCTCAGAAGTGGAAAATAAGGCCAAAACCTTTTAGGCAGACAAGCAAATAAACATACTCGCGGAAGCCAAATTCAGAGAAACTAAGACAAACACCGAAACAACAGACGAAAAAAACCACAGATCCACAGGAAAAATGAACTCAAAACTCCAACAGTTCACTGGAAAGAATGAAAAAACAAATACGTAACTTTTCCGGCAGGAACCTAATCCAATGCATAATACATTAACAGATCCAGATCAGAGAAACAATCAACGCAACAAAAAAAGTCCAGTGGCCGTGACACCGAACAAAGCAGACTACAAATCGATAAAATTTTGTAAGATCTACCACAAAATCCTTCCAGCTAAAACAGAAACTGAACAGAAAAAGAAAATAATAGCATGCGAACCTCGGCATCATGCCATCGGGTTGGATCCCATGCTCGAGGCAGTACAACTCCCAACAGGAGTTACCAACCTGGATCCCCGCCTGCCCAATGTGGATGCTAATGATCTCTCTCATCTTTTCCCCTTCTCAAACCCAGAAACAAAACCCTAACGCTCGTCCTCCCCCCACTCACTTTCTCTCTCTTCGCAAGCCGAGAGAGAACAGATGCCAACGAATGAAAAGCCGCGACGAAGATAGAGAAATGAGAAGATGAGAAATGCTCAACCCTAATTCCTTGTAGTTTTAAAGAAGGGCGGAGAAAATGGGGGGAAAGTTAAAATAAAATAAAATAAAAATACTAAAAAAACGTTAATAAAAAGATTAAAAATAGAGTAATAGTAGTCTGTAGAACAGCTATTGACCGGCACAGTCGGTCGACTCGGCCGGCCGAGCCCGGTTCTCCTTCAAAATCCAAATGGCAGTAGAAGTGTAGAACGATATTTTGCATTTTTGTTCCCGAAAAGATAAGATTTTACATATAAAAACAAGATTTTGCATTTTTGTCCCCAAGCATGTGAGTATTCACACAATAACCGCCTCCCAAAACAATTAAATAATGATTGTCAGACTTGCCCGCCCTCAAAGAAGTACCCTTTGCCCAATTATAATTGTGAACAACTTAACATTATTTCAGTAAAATTATTTGCAAAAATATTCATGTTTTGTTGAATTCTAAAATAATTAAATTTGTTTTCAGATTAATTCTATTTATAAAAAAAATTAAATCATATTGATTTCAGAAGAAATTTAATAATTTTAAATTATTTCTATTATAATTTATATTGAAATATTGTGATAATTTTTTTCACATAAAAATAGGTCACATGCCTAACAAATTAAAAGTTCAGTGATTATATTAAATTAGATATAATTTTATTTAATTTTAAATCAATTATAATTTAATATTTAATTTAGATACAACAACAACAAGCCTCTATCCACTACATGAGATCGATGACATTGAATTGAATATAATAAATTAAAATTAAAATCAAATAAATGATGAAATCCAGTCAAAAGAAATCATTCAGCTCGATTTCAATTAAATTTAATTTTCAATTTAAACGGGAAATTAGAGAATTATGATTTTAGTTCATTCTATCTAAGGAAATTATATTTATTTTCACAATTTAGACCATCTCCACCTTCATGAGAGAATTAGGCTTTGTTTAGGATTGTGTTTTTTATTGCTTCTTAAAACAGCTTTTTAGTATAAATTTTTTAATTTTTAACTAAAAAATTGCTTTAAAAATCGTAAAAAAGCAATCCCAAATTAAGCCTTAGGTTTCGTTTGGGGCGGTTTTTTTATTGTTTCTTAAAGCAGCTTTTTAGTACAAAAATTAAAAAATTTGTACTAAAAAACTGCTTTAAGAAGCAATGAGAAAGTCGTCCCAAACGAAGCCCTAATCTAATCACCTCTAATGACTTTTGAGACTTCTCTACACTACATCATTTAGTGGCTCAAGATTATGAAGAAATTTCCTTTATATGGAGACTAAGGTTTCGTTTGGGACAGCTTTTTTATTGCTTTCTAAAACAGAGTTTTAGTACAATTTTTTTTATTTTTAAACTAAAACTCCGTTTTAGTACAAAATTTTTTATTTTTGTACTAAAACTCCGTTTTATAAAGTAATAAAAAACCGTCCCAAACGAAGTCTTACGCTTTGTTTGGGACGACTTTCACCAAAATTAAAAATTTTGTATTAGAAATTTGTTTTAGAAGCAGTAAGAAAGCCATCTTGAACGAATCATAAGGACAACTTTCTTACTGCTTCTTAAAGCGGCTTTCTAGTTAAAAATTTTTAAATTTTGGGACAGCTTTCTTACGGCTTCTTAAAGCGGCTTTCTAGTTAAAAAATTTAAAATTTTGTATTAAAATGTAACTTTAAGAAGCAAGAAGAAAGCCGTCCAAAATGAAGCTTAACACATTCAAAATTTTAATATTTATTACAATAATAGGATCCAAAATTTGAAATTACAATAAAAATTTGAACTTTATTTTTAATTATTTATTAAATTCTTTATGATTTAACTATATCTGTATAGATATCAGTTTTTCCTTTCTTTTACAAATTTTAATGTAAGTCATCTAAATAAGAATAATTTAGATGCCACACATACCTAAATATTTATTAATGAGTAGAATTAAACTTTGAGTAATAATATTTTTTATATATAATAGAATCCTTAATAATGTCCTCTATATAATGCAAAGCTGATCTTAATTTGAGATATTATAGCCCAAGACTGATTAATTTTGAAGACAATTATCAACCCTAGTTATGTGTATCAGTTGCAGATGCTAACGCTAAGCTGTCCAATTCATCAGAACAGCACAGCTGTTCCACTCTGGACCAGGATAAGCTAATAAGATGGTATAGCTTACCTGAAAAGATTCAGTGCCTGTCAATTCACAGTAATATAAATAATTTTCTGCCACGTGGAAGAAGATAATTCGCTTGGAGGTTGTAAGTAGGAGAAATTATTTTGTGCGGCATTTGGATAGAAAAAATCATTTAGATATATGGATGTACACATTGTAATTGTTGAAGCAATTTTTTTTCGAATTATTAGTCATCTAGTTTTCTTCCAAGTTTTGCAATTACTAAATGTTTAATTAGATATAAATGTGTGGCAAAGTACGCTATAATTATTTGTTGTAATTACAACTCATATCGGGCACGAATCTCAATGCATAATAAAGTTATAAACTTCCAAAATTATTCAAACTCCGATTTCAACAAACTTATAGTCGAACTGTACGTCTCGAGAATACAAACCCAACGAAACCAAATCCAACCCAAACCGAGCCCAAATAGGTCCAAATCAAGGGTTAAAAACTCTGTTGGGAGGTTCGAACCACAATTTGGATTACCAAACGGTTTCCAAACATAGTGTGCTTATAGTCGAATTGAGCGGCTCGATGAGAAAAATCCAACGAGTCCAAGATCAATGAATTCACACATCACTAAGACATTTAAATGTCCATCAAACGGCTCATGATCAAGGGATTCAACATCGGCAGTCCATCTAACCACTCCTCATTTGCCCTTGATCTTCCACATATTTACAGACAATGCCACTCCAAGAAATCTATAAATAGAGCCACATTTTCTCTTGAAAATGGACCCCAAGCCAAAGGATTCAAGAGAGAGATCGGAGATCGCTCTTGCCTCCTTGCTCCTACTCAACCACTGCCTGAGTTCTGCCGGATCACCGCCTGAAGTCATTGCTTCGTCGGACCACCACTTGAGGCCCTGAGCTCAGCCGGATAACCACTTGAGGCCCTCACCTTCACCAAACCACCACTTGAGGCCCTCACCTTCGCTGGACCCCCACTTGAGGCCCTCACCTCTACTAGACCACCACTTTATGTCCGGAGTTCTATCGGACCACCACTTGAGTCCCTGAGCTCCACTAGACCACCACCTGAGGCCCGGAGTTCTGACGAGCCGCCACGTGACGCTTGGAGTTCTGTCGGATCACCACCTGAGGTCTGGACTTATGTCGGACCACCACTTAATGTCATACCACCATCTAACGTTCGGACTTTTACCGGATCACCACCTGAGGCCCAGAGTTCTGCCGGACCACCACTTGACACCCACCATTCTGCCAGAACACCACACAACGCCCGAAATTCTGTCGGACCACCATCTAAGACCTGGACTTTTGCTGGACTACCACATGAGGCCCGAACTTCTACAGGACCATACGATAGAACTCCTTCCGACCTCCATCACCAAACAACTGTCTTTCTAACCTCGATCTCCTGTCAACTATTATCTTTCGGACTCCAGTCTCCTGCCGACTATGATCCTTCTGACCTCTGTTGTCTATTATGGTACTTTGACCTCCATCGCTAGACAACGATCTTTTTGATCCCGATTTCCTGCCTACCACGATCTTTTCGAACTCTATCCCATCTACTATGGTCCTCGACCAAACAAACTTGTCTATGTAAACTCTCACCATGTAATGCGCTCTATATGATGTACATTTATGACATCAAGCCAATGTCTTCTCCCAAGAAAGGGCCTCATTTATAATCGACAACAAATACTAGTGTATTCATTCAAACTAGGTCTGACCCCATGGGTTTTCCCTATTTTTTCAGGGGTTTCCACATAAAAACTTTGATGTCTCTTATAAACGCTATACATTTTCTCTTACTTGTGTGCGTGTTGGATCTTCGTACAATACAAAGATTTTAAACTATAAAATTCTCTACCAACACGAATATTCTAGGACGCAACAATCGTAAATTAAAATATTATATTTTTATGAGGTATTTTTCAGGCTGAAAATTTTTTAAAGTATGATAATACATTGTTAATATAAATTTATAGTAAAACTTATAAAATATTTTATTTCGATGAAAATTGATATTTTTTATTATATTTATTTTAAGAAAATTTATCATATAACATATTTATTTCATCTCAATATATATAAGGATATTAAAAGTAATTTGATCATATACATGTGGAGCATAGCACCTTTACATTTATACTACCCAGATAAAATAGAATGATTTTTATACAGTATACAATAACTTCAAAAAGTAATTTTTTTGTATAACAACTTTATAATATGCTTTAACAACAACTACAACTACAACAATCCCAAACCAACACTAATAGTTTAAAAATTTTATTAAGAATTATATTTATATATTTGTTACTCACACATAGGGGTGTAACCTAGACAAGCCGACTCACGATCCAGCTTGGGCTTGACTCGTTAACAGGCTCGGCGATTCAAGCTCGAACAGGATTTCAAGCTCGACCGCTTTATCGAGCTTGAGTTCAAACAACACACGGCTCTACTCGCGAGCTCTTTGAGCTGCTTGTGAACGGACACAGAGTTCTGCGGGTGGGAAATTGAGGGCGGAAGTTCCGCGGGCAGGAATTTCGCGAGCCAGAAATTGTGGTCGGGAAAACCTAAGTGATAAATCGCGGGCGAACGACTCTCACATTTATGGAGGCGGACGACTCACTTGGACTCTGACGATGCGAATGATTGCAGAGGCGCATGAGTCGGCTCAAACTTATTTATAATGGAAAGAACTCAAACTCGAATTTACTTTCTAATAGACTAGCTGAGCTAGAGTGTCCAAACTAGAAAAAATTATTAAGTGCGGATAGAAATTAGTCCATATATCAATAAAAATATGCCACATTACCGCAAAAATATGAACAATTAGTACATAAGGTGACATGACGTAGTTCTACGTTCGGACGCCGATAACATGTCGCCACGTGGTTTTACTCAATACCGCGCGGCCCGACGACTTGACCAGGAATTGCTATGTTCGCGTATTGCTCGGCATTGCTCTAGGTATTACTCGGTATTGCTAGGTATTGCTCGGTATTGCTAGGTATTTTTTGACAATAATGAAAAATATCGCTCTGTGAAGACCAATACCGAGCAATACTGAGAAATACCGAGAAATACCGAGTATACCGAGCAATACCGATAAAAACTCGGTATTGCTCGGTATTTCTCGGTATTGCTCGGTATTGTTCGGTATTGATATTCACAGAATGGTATTTCTCATCATTGCCGAGCAAAATCGACTAATACCGAGCAAATACCGAGCAATACTTAGTAACACGCGAACATAGCAATCCTGTCTCCGTTCCGGGTTGGGGTTGTCGGGCCGCTCGATAAATAGTGAGAACATGTGACACTATGACCCGACCAAATAAAAATTCCAAAAATATACGCACTTAATACGGAGCGCTCGGCACTACTAGACCCGACTCCTACTCACGCATCACTTACGCGGAGCATCTATACTAGTTACATGTAGCTCTGTCGATGGTGACGGGTGATCCTTCATAATGGGGAAATTAAAAGATAACAGAAGGAATAAAGGAGCAAGGCCGAGGGAAGCCAGCCTGAAAAATTCCGTTTGATTTCCTCCTCTTACCGGCATAGATAATTAGATATTTTCTATAGTCGTCCATGTCGGTGTCTCGTTGGCCTCTTTTCTACGTCGTCCCTCTTACTTGCTTATTTTCGGTGCAGCATTGCGGATCATCGGCTTTGCCGCCTTTCTGTCCTTCACAGGCCCTCGGCGGCATCGCGGATTCCCTCAGATTGCAGTGCCCTCTACGGATCGAGCGTTCTTTGCCGGAGAAGGTGCGACTCCTTGTACCTGATCCATTTCCTTTTTCCAATGTCTGTGCGAAGGCCGCATTATTTTTTGGGGATTCTGTGCTTTTTTTTTTTGGTCGTTTTGGTGTTTTCTTTTGTTGCTAATGTTGACAGGTCGCGGGTTACTGCAGAATTAGGTTTTTATTTTATTCGTTGCAAAAAGCTTTAGTAAAATGAAACTTTCTGCTGGCTAAGTTTTTTCCTCTAGTTAGGGTTTGATTTGTCGTCGTTTAGAATAGGCGAGGTTATTATGTGATTTGTGCTTTGTTCTGTTTTTGTTTATTGTTGCTATCATACGATTTCGTGGAATATGGACAGCTTTTTGTTTATTGTTGCTGCTATAGTATATATAATTATTAAAACTATTGGGTGAACTTCATACAGGAAGTTTGTCCTTTTGGCTTGTCAGGCTTGTTCCTTAGATTTTGATTATGATCTTTGTTAATTAATATGATGGGAGATGAGGATGTTTGATTCAGTTTCCTTTTTGAGTTTTTGGATAGAAAGTGAAGCTGCAAGATTACTCTTTTCTACTGCTTAGGTGATTTGTGAACCTAGCATCCAGGGATAGGAATAGTTTTTGGGCTTTATAATGGTTTCTTATGACATTTTCAGAATCCATTTTTGTAGGGATGCTTATTTTTGTTTATTTACTTTCAATTAGAAATTTAGAAGAGTACCTTTGCGAGCAGGATAACAGAAATAGAATTATTGTTGTGAACATTACCTCTCCGTAGAGTCTTGGGGATGATATTATTGTCCTTATTTTTGAAAAGGTGGAAGTGGTAACTCTAATATATTAAACTAGAAATTTACAAGTAAAAGATCAAATTATTCAAAAAAAAAAGAAGAAGAAAAGAAATAGCTATCTAATTAAATACAATAAACGTATCTTCCTCATCAAAAGTATCTGATGTGATACCAACAAGAATTGCACGGAAATATTTTAAAGGATTACAAAGCTTGCTACTTAAGATTAAAGTTTCGTAAGATTAGATTAGAGAACTTTCAATCATCAATCTTATTGTAGTAAACAGTTACAAATCAGAAGTTTAAGCCAAGTTAAGATAGATCCAAAATTATCACAGAAAACAAATATGTTGTAATACAATCCCACGGTTAATATTTAGAAAGTTCATTATGAGTTACCATGCTCACTCACACTCAAAGTATGACTTAGCATAGAAGGTCTTTAGCACACACAACGATGCCACGAGGATGGTCGCAACGCCAATAGTCTTAATCCGCGGAAAGGTCGACGGTGGAGGAGAGGTAGCCGCGAACGGGGAAGGTGTAGATCTCCCAAAGAGAAGCCAAGGCGTCTTAGGCTTTTGAAGATCGATTGTATGTGCCAAGCAATAGAGGATGCGCTTGACGTATCTTCCCGCCGTCTCGTCGTATTCCCAATCGGGGTCGTAGAAGGGAGAGAGAAGAATGTCAATCTCCCCACGATCGTTGTAAGCGAACCCGTGATCAATCTCGAGATCGGCCATTCGACATTGAAGAGGAGATGTGAGGACGTCGTCTTCTTCTTTGGCTTCAAAATTCCCAAGGGGGAGCAAGGAGAGGGGCGGCCAAAGTGGAGAAGGGAAAGAGGGAAGGGGGGGTCGACTAGAGGGAGAAGAAATAGGTTTAGACCAAGAGAGGAATAGGGTTTTTACGCCGCCGGCCCCTCCAACCCCTTTTCCCATTGTGATGATGAATTGCAATCATCATAATACCCTCAAGATTTAGTTAGGCATGAGAGGGAAGATTTGAATCAATTGAAATTCAATTTGAATTTCAAATCTTTCCCAATTTGGAATTCCCATTTAGGAAGTATTCATGACATCAATTAAACTTCAAATAAAATTGGATTTCATAAAATAACTGCCTAATCCACAATCCCTCTTGGAAACTGCCCTAAATCTCCCAATCACTCCCTCTTTCTCTATGCCGCCGCCACCCATGATGGCTCCCCATTAATTGCCCATTGACTCCCCTTTGACCTCAATTTGAAATTTGAACTTAATTCAAATTGGATCTTCCCTCAAATTCACTTAAAACCTGAAATTAATTCAGGTTTAAAA